TGCAGTGTTATTCCTTAAGGAGTATTATTAGATTCTAAAATTATCAGCTAACTTTTTTTTTAACATCGGAACATTTCAAGTGAAAAGAGGTGCTTCACTAAATAAAATGCATCTTCTAGATATATTGCTGTAAAAATTTATATAATGCTGATTTTTTTCAATAAAAGGATTCTTCAGTAATTACACTAATGGTATGTCTCTTTGTTTATAAACCTATGAAATACTATAATTCCATATAAGTCAATCTCAAGTCTATTCATGAAAGCTCAAGGATTAGAAATCTATTATGAAAGAAAGACTTGAAAAATAGGTCTAGGAGATACAATAACCATCTGACCAGAATTTCAAAGAGAGAAAACAATTGTTGGAAGAGAAGAATTAGTCGACATAGTAAATGAAAGTGTCCAGAGACCAATGAAAAGGAAAAAGTTAACACATATCCTGGGACAATGTCTGGAATCCAAGGAAAAGGAATAAATCCTAAATTTTTCCTGGCAAAAGTTTGTGGTAAAATAATGTGGCCTAGACTGAGGTAGTGGTTGGAGAAATGGAGAGAACATGGCAGATTTGAAATACGTTTTGTATTGATAATCTGCAGAACTGCTAATGCATGTGTTATAAAGGTGTGGGGGGACAAGAATAACTGAGGATTTCTAGTTTTTGGATGAAATAAATACTTGGGTGGTGGTGGTAAGTACATAGTTTTTTACTGGGGTAAAGTTCACATGCCGTAAAATCCACCATTAGCATTTTAAAGTGTATACTTCAGTGGCTTTCAGTACATTTACTAAGTTAGGCAGCCATCACTGCTATTTGATCTGTCACTCCAAAAGGAAGCCCTGTACCTGTCTAATCAACAGTCACAACTCTTCTTCCCTCTTCCTAGTCCCTGAACACGATCGACCTTCCCGAGTTTGCCTGTTCAGAGCATTTCCTGCAAATGGAAAGCCGTGTGCCATGTTACTGTTGTGTCTGGCTTCTTTCACGCAGCAGCATTGTGTTTGCCAGGCTCCTCAGTGTCGTGGTATGCGTCAGGCCTTCGTTCTTTCTATGACTCCACAGTATTCCATTGTATACGTACAACACATTGTGTTTATCCATCACCAGCTAATGACATCTGGGTTTCTACTTTTTGGTTGTCGTGAATAATGCTGCTGTGAGCATTTTGTGTTCAGGATTTTGCTTAAAAACCTGTCTTCGTGTCTTTTGGATATATACAAAGGCATGGAATGTCTGGGTCATCTGGTGATTCTGTTTAACTTTTTGAGGAACCACCAAACTGTTTTACGTAGCAACTGCACCCACCATCTTCTATTCCTACCAGCAATGTATGAAGGTTCTCATTTCTTCGCTTCCTCACCAACTTTATTTGTTTGTTTGTTTGTTTGTTTTGAGTTGGAGTCTCACTCTGTCGCCCAGACTGG